CCTGCGGGCGCCGCCGGGGCCTGTCCCGCCGCCCCGCGCGGGGAATGAGGGGTCGGGGGGAGCGAGCAGGGGGCGGCGGCGCGGGGCCCCGTTAACGGCCGCTCCCGCGCAGGTGGACGGACTACGTGCCGCTGGGCCGGCGCCTGCCTGGCACCCGCTTCATCGCCTTCAAGGTGCCGCTCCGGAAAGTGAGTCCCGGCGCCGCGGCGGGCGACCGTGATCCAGAAAGGGCCCCAAAAAGCGTCTTTTTGTGGAAGATTTTAACCGGAGACTCGGAGTTCGGTGTGAGCTCCTCTGCTCGGAGCTGCCTTGGTGGTGTTTGTGCTCCAGCAGTGAGGCTGAGTTGCAAAAAGCAGACTAAATCTCCCTTCAACCCCAGTTACAACCTTAATTTGCACCCAAACTATCCCGAATCAGTAAATGTCCAGGTTTTGGTGTCACTTTGGTGCCTGTGTCCCTCCTGGGTTGTCTCTGGTACTCCGTGGTTTTCCGAGCTGCTCTGTAGGAGCTCTTGGACCTGCTGTGCTCACGCGTTGTGGAGCCCCTGAGCTTCACCCGTGCCCTTAAACGTTGTTTCCTGCCAGGGCTTCAACCGGAACCTGCATCCCGAAGAGAGGTTCTCGCCTCGGGATCTGCTCAAGAAGATCCAAGGAGGAGCTGGGGCTCATCATCGACCTGGCCTACACGGCCCGTTACTACGGCCCGGAGGTCAGTCCTCGGGGAAGGGACGCTCTGGTTAAGCAGGTAGCAAAAACAGACGTTTTCTCACCCAAAAAGGCCTCGCTGCTCTTCTGGACTTGGTCTAAAAACTTGGCTTTTTTTAACTTTACACTGTATTTTTTTTAGTTGGCCAAAATCCGGCTTATTGCCGAAGTTATCGGGCTCCTCTGTTTCTTGCAGGAGCTCCCGGCCACGCTGCACTACTCCAAGATCTTGACCGTGGGCCACGAAATCCCAAACAGCCAAACTATTTACCAGTTCAAGTGCGTTGTAAAGGACTTCCTGAGGGACAACAAAGATAATGGTAAGCTTGGACTTCCCTAAATGGTAGAGAGATTCTGATAACCTGGCAGTGAGTTGAACTTTGGAGGAGTTTGCAACTTCCTTGCTACATTGGCTGTAAATATTGATTCATTTTTAGTTGCTGTGTAAGCACTGAGCTGTCCGTGCTCCAGAAACGAGTGGGATTTCTTTTTATGTAGCTGCTAAATGAGCTCTGTGGACGTTCAGATGAGGTTACAGGATTTATTGTCCTAAATCAGCTGTGATATCTGCTTGTAAACGTGGTGATCTCGTTGCGTAACCGAGTGTGTTTGTTTACTTTGTTGTGACTGTGGGATGACGAATGTGATCGGGCTCGTTTTCTGGTTGGGTCGTGGCAAAAGAGAACCTAAAATGTAACTAATTATGGTGTGTTGCAGATAAACTTATTGGAGTGCATTGCACGCATGGCCTGAACAGAACCGGCTACCTGGTTTGCAGGTGAGTTGTCCTTAGTCACCCTGGCTTAGGTGGTGGCATTAGCAGCCTTATATGGCTCCAGAATGGAACTTTATTGCCCCATAAAAGACGACTCAGGTGGCCTGTGTATCCCAGCCTGGTGAGGATTTAAACCTTAATAGGACTTCAATAACTTCCAGAGAAGGTTGGTTGTTCGTAGTCACTTTAAACTGATTTCAGCAAGCCAAGTGCTGATACTCCATTCTGGAATGTAAATAGAAGATCTCGCAATCTTCCTGTGATGATTCTTTCCTTGTTAATTGTCTCTAACTGAATGTTTCTATAACTGATCCCATAATTAGAGCTTTCTTGCTGCTCCCTCCAGGTACCTCATCGATGTCGATGGTATGGAGCCAAATGCTGCCATAGAGTGTACGTGTCACTGCCTTGCTGGGATGCCAAATGTTTAGGTACCTCATCGATGTCGATGGTATGGAACCCAACGCTGCCATAGAGTGTACGTACACGTGTCACCACCTTGCTGGGATGCCATCAGCTGATGGTTTTGGATGGTCCAAGGGTTTGAGCTACCTCCAGTGGAGTAATTTTTATCTCTTAAGCACTATAAATAGTGTTTAAGGCTTCCCGCAGGGTAGGAGAGGAGCTGGAAGAGCAGGAAAGTGCTTGAGGGTTCCTTGAGGTGTGAAATAAGGGGGTGATTGTAGGGCTGTACGTGGGAGTGTGGAAGTAGCCAGAACCAGGTGGCTCTTGGGGTTTTGTACCGTGCTGCGAGTGGGACAGTGTCACCCTGTCACGGGCTGCCCTGCAGAGGGAGGCACATGGAGAAAGAGTCACACTGCAGGTGCCCTCGCTAACCTAGAGCCACTGATTCAAGGGGTTAAAACCCTACTGAAAGGCTTTGAGTGCCAGACAGCCCTGAGGATCCTTGTGTGCAGCTTTTTTTAAAACTGAGCCCTCTCTTTGCAGTGTTCAACAGAGCTCGAGGGCACCCTATAGAGAGAATGAACTATATTGAAGATCTGCAAAAGAGATCTGTGCAAAAGTAAGTCCTGCTGCTGTGCATGTGCTAAATAAAGCTGCGTTCAATGACCAATACAGGCTAAACTTCCTGGCTTCTCCTGCTTGTGGTAGCCTGGGCTGGTGGATAAGGCGGAAGACGGGATATTGGGAGACCTTGACAGCTGTTTACAGATGTTCTGCACAGAGTTTTCACAGGCCTGCGCTGTCCCCTTTTCAAGGGGGATGGATGTGGATGGAAAAGCGCTGTGGTGGTCGCTTGGCAAATGGCTTGAGGCCCCAGTCGGGACTAACAGGCTTCTGTTTAAGGAACTGCAGCGTAAAGTGTTTGGGCTCGGACCCCTTCAAAGGAAAAGGCGGCGCGACGCCGAATCCTAAAAGGCAGCTGGGGACAGAGCATCGCCTGCATCTCACAGAACAACTGCCCCTCACGGTGCCCCGGTAGGTTTTTGCTCTTTGCTTCCCTGTGTACCACCTGGGTGATGAGGGAGAACAAAAACTGGGCTCTTTTGAGAAACTTGGATATGTTTTTTATGATTTCTTGCTGTGCAAGAGAGCGCCTGTTTCCTTGTCAGCTCTGCAAGGTGGATAGAAGGACTTGGCCTCTGCTGGAGCAGCCTGAGGAGGTTTTGGTGGTTCTTCTTGAGGCTGAAATGATAAAATATTTCAGGGGAAAAGAGCCCTTGCTTTGAATCTGGTGCCAGGTAAGAGCTTTCTGCTCACAGCCAAGCAGCAACTTCTCTTTCTCTTTGCAGGCTTCTCCCTTCCCTGCAGAGACATCAGGGGAACAGGGAATGCAGGTGAATAACCCTCTCCTGAGTTCAGCCAATGTCCTGGGGGTGATACGAGCTGAGGGGTGCCTCCTGCCTCATCTTCCTAAGGCCTTTTTCGTAAAGAAAAAGAAAAAAGCGTTGGTAAAGAATGCTTGGGAGTTACTGGGTTTTGTGAGGTGGTATGGGAGATGCAAGAACTCTGGGAGGGAGAAAATGGGCTCGATTGCTGACTTGGCCCCATATAATTAATGTCTTACTTTACTTCCAGAGCCCCGGGCACGGCCGAGAAGCGCAGCAGGCGCGAGAGGGTCCCCGCGCGTCGCCAGGACCCCGCGCCCCAGCGCGGGTGGCCCCGCGGCCCCAGGGACCCTGCAGGGCCGGAGCTCCGCGTCCAGGAGCACCACGGACTGTATTTCCCGGCACGGGGACCCGGCTTCCCTCTCCCGCAGGAAACGCACACGGCCAAGAAGCGCCGGCGGCGGCGCAGGAAGCCCGTGACGGCGTAGGGAATGTTATCCCTACGGAACACCATCCCAGGGCTGCGCTTCCACCCAGGACGAGCTCTGTCACAAGTCTCCCTGTTCGATGAAGGGGTTTGCCCTGACCTTCACCAGCAGCTCACGGCCGAGGAAAGTGGTTATTCATCTCAACACACCTCGCTTTTATTTATTTTTTTATGACTTTCACACCTCCCACGTTGGAGTTTGAGCCTTAGGTCAGGCTTTGGAGTGCAAGCCCAGTGCTACAGAGAGCGAACACTGACACGAAACCTTCCTCAGGAAGTATTTTCACAGGTGCCCCTTTCAGTTTTGACAGAAGGAGCTCTTCTATGGGGCTTAATATATAGTTTGGGGGCTGGGGGAAATAATTTGCCATGAGACTAGAATACTTTTTAAAGTAAATTTTATTGCTACACCTTGGTCACTGCACTGTGTCCCGGAGAAGGGGAGGGACGGGCGAGGAGGGCCCTAATGTGCCCCTAATTCCCTTTGGAATGTGGAGGAGCCGCTGGGCTGAGAGCGGCTGTGGAGAGGGCGGCCCCTTTAAGACGCCCTGCGGCGTGAGGCCGCACTTCCGCCCTACGCCAAGATGGCCGCCGGCTCTTCGCGGACGTGCCAGGGCGGCGCGGCC